CATGGGAGCAGCTGGTCATGTGGGTTGGGCTGTAGGCCATGGAAGGGCAGGCATTTCTTTCTTTTTTTTTAAAGAGATATTTTTGCTATAGGGCATGTGGACTCACCAGAGAGACAGAAAAACAGAGAGACAGAAAGCGAAAAATCACTCCCCGGGTGGATGGCCACAATGCAATCCCTTCTCCTCCATTCTCCTCTCAGGATTTTGCACATGCACACATGCACATGTCCCTGGGGTGAGTTTTAAGCCACCGGGTCTGGGACTTGAACTGTGGTCAGCTATGTGGGAATCCAGCAACGCAATCATTACACCATCTGCTGGTCCCCTCAATGGCATTTTCTTATTTCATTCTTATGTAGCTATTGGCCCTATATTAGGAATCAAGACCTTGAGACTTAGTGGTGTCAACTTAGTCTCTAAACTTTGAGATTGGGGTCGAAGCCTGCAGCAGGGTGGTCTGTCTTCAGAGCCTGTGCTGTAGGTCTTAAGTTTACATGTTGCCTTCCTCGGGGATCTCTGGCATCCTAAAGGATTCTGGGCTCTCGAAGAAAATTATAGCCCAGAGGAACAAGTTCATCATGTTGAACCAAACTGAGCTGAATAAATACTCACACCGTCCAGCATTTGGGAACACAATCTACAAATATTTACAAAGGATCTCTCAGGAACCAGATGCTTCTGTGTCACTAATGAGAATACAAAGCTGAACCCAGATCCAGTCCTTCCCAAATTTATAAAAAGTATTGAGAGAAAAGTTGTAATTAAACAATTACAATATGGGACAAGCATGTGGCATAGAAGTTAAGGTGGCTGGAGCCCACATGGCCGATTACACTGTTTGAGTCCCAGACCCAGTGGCTTGAACATCACTCCAGGTGAGTGTTTGCACGTGCCCAAAATCCTGAGAGGAGAATGGAGGGAAGGGATTGCGGTGTGGCCACCCCCTCTGGGGGATGATTTCTCACCTCCCTCCCTCTCTCTCTCTCTCTCTGGCAAGCACATGCATCCTCTACCCAAAACAAAACAAAACAAAACAAAACATTTAAAGCACAAGGAAGATGATGGTAAGAACTAAAAGAGAAGTATAAAGAAATTACATTGGCAGGTCACAGGAAAGCTCTCCCTACCTGGGGGTCCACTCATGGCGGAGGTGGATCAGAGGAGGCGTGGGGAGAAGACTGGTTGGACCCGGACTGTGAAAGGTAAGCAGGGTTTGAACTTGCTCGCGGCGACAGGAAGAGCTCCGTCAAGCCTGAGCCATGCAGGACCAGAGAAAGCCACGGTGCCCCTGAGCAGTTAGGAGGGCTTCTGTATGCTGAAAAGGCGGCCGTGTGGTAGACGGTGCTCAGACAGGGAAGGACAAGAGTGAGGCATCACTGAAGGGTAGGTGTCTGTGAGCCCGAGCTGGGCTACTCTGGCGGCAGCAGGGAAGGCTAGGGGAGGGGGAGAGGGCTGAGATGCAGAAAGGACTTACAGCAGGCCTGATGGCCCTTCTTCAGGGAGGCCTACTAGCAGGGTTGGACCGTGGCTGGCGTCTGGAAACTCGACAGGGAAACAGCTCCCGACACTGGTACAAAGGGTCTCTGGGAGTGTAGCTCGCTGCTATACAGACAGCCTGTCTGTAAAGCAAGGAGGCTTATACAGCCCCTGCTTTCTGTCTGGGAGTCAGGAATTCCACATAGGGCAGGTAAAGGGTGACATGACCAGCCCCCGTAACCACATTGGGCACGGGGTCTCATGGCTACTCTGACACACATTTTGCACGTGTGGCTACACCTTGTCACTGGAGGAATGTAAGCACGTCCTGGAGCCTGTTGGGAGGCCTCCTGGAAGCCCACACCTGGTCCCCAGCCTTTGCCACATGCCTGTCCCTTCTGCTGCTTCTGTCTGTATTCTTTCACTACGAACCTGAGTGTGAGGCTGACTCTAGCTGAGGCCCCTGAGTCCTTCTGGAGAGTCACTGAATCTGGGGGTGACCTTGGGGAGCCCAACACAGCCCCATCAGCAGAGCCTGCACTGACCGAAGGGGATGAGACCTGAACTAGAGCAGTGATCCTGGGAAGGGAAAGGAGGACCCAAGTGAGAGCCACTGGGATGACTCAGCAAATCTTGGCAACTGACTCAGAAGCTGGGGGAAAGGAGCAAAATGACTCTGGAGCCGCTCTTGGGAAATGGGAAGACGATGGTGCCACAAACAGGAAGAAGAGCAGATTTAGGAAGATACCGATGAGTTCAGCTTGGGGCATGATGAACTGTCAGAGCTTGGGGTGGGGGTGGGGGTACGCTCATGGAAGACAGATCTTTCTCATGCCACTACAATGGAAACTCTACGATGACAGGCATTTCTTTCTCTCTCTTTTCTCTTTTTAAGTCTTTTCCCCATGAGTGGAAAAGACAGAGCAAGGAGGGAGGCAGCGAGACAGCGTTCTCAACAGTCTTGGGGCCATGATCCACACCCAGCCTTAGCCAGCCTGCATCATGGGCACGTGCACACCCTGTGTATTCAGGAAGGTCCCCAAACATGAACCTATAACCTTCCCTATGGGGCAGCCTCACAGCGTCACGTTTTACCACTCCTGGCCCCTTTCTTTACTGCTGCTTTGTTATTCCAGCACCGAGGCGCTGCTAGAACAGGGAGACACCACTGGGAAAGGCCTGGCACCTTGTTGACACAGGGTATATGTACATGCTCCATTGTCAGAGGGCCTGTGGGGTGTGGTCATACCGCAATCGCTGCCCCTTCGTTTCTCCAGTCATCAGGATTTGGGGTGCTGATGCCCAGCAACTATTAGGTACCACAGACTATAGGTGGTCTTATGCTTTACAAGAACTAGAAAAAGGAGCTCTAGAGAGCATACTCAGTATCATTTCTGGAAAAAAGACTATTTATTTAGTCCCTTTACTCTAAACTGCAGTCAGCCATGTGGACCCAGTTCACTACACCCAGCGCTTAACCACTGTGCCACCCGACAGAGTGTAGTTGTTGAAGAAATGATGAGTCATCAATGAGAGTGGAAGCCACCTGAATGGCAAGAGTAGGAGTACACAGAAAGAAAAGATGGAGATCTGAATACAGATTGTGCAAATGAGAGAGAAGTGAGAGAAGGGGTTTCCAGAGCTAGGAGAACCCAGAATGCAGTGATACGAAGTCACAAGGGCGAGTGGTCAACACTGCAGAATTCTGCAGAGGGATGAACGGGATGAAGACGGAGCATTCGTCTGTGGATTTGCTCACTAGATGGCCCTTCCAGATCTCAAAGCAAGGGCTGAAGCTACAGAGGGTGAATCAGTATAAGGAAAAGTAGGTGGCAAGAGAAGATTATTCTTTCAAAAAGTTTGGAGTTGGAGGCTGGTCCCGTAGTTTAGTAGTTAATGGAACCAAAGCCCACATGGCCAACTGTGGTTCTACTCCTGGCCCTGTGGGCTTGAGAAACATGCCAGAGGCACGTATGTGCATGCCCAAAATCACCAAAGAACGGAGCAAGAGAGGAGAAGGAATTGCAGTGTGCCCATTCTCCATGGGAGTTCGTCCTCTTCCTTTCTCTCTGTCTCTCTAGGGAGAACACACAACTTTTGGCAATTATTAAAAAAAATAAAAGTATACTCAGTGTGATACCTGGAAAAAATATCTTTCAAGATTACTCAGTCCCTTTGCTCTAAAACTCCTATTTATATTTTACTTTTTATTTAATTTATTTATTATTTGAGAGATTTTTGCTATAAGGCACATGTGCTTGCCAGAGAGACAGAGAGAAACAGAGACAGAAAGCGAGAAATCACCCCTCAGGGGCGATGGCCACACCACAATCCCTTCTCCATTCTCCTCTCAGGATTTTGGACACACATGCACACACACCAAGTGTGAGTTTAAAGCCTCTGGGACTGGGACTCGAACCGTGGTTGACTATGTGGCAGTCCAGTGATATAACCGTTATGCTACCTGCTGGTCCCTCCTCTCATTTTTCTGTAGTAACTAAAAAATTTCTGAAAATAATAAGTTTCCTCCCTTAACACTGAGATATTTTCCTGTGGACATGAAAGTGCAGAAAAATCCTGGGACTAGCGGTTTGCATGGTGGCTGGGATGCTGGACTCCCACATGGCTGACCATGATTCGAGTCTGGGACCTAGCAGCTTGCTTTTTCACTTTCTATCACTCTGTCTTTCTCAGAGTGTACATGCCTATAGCAAATTTAAAAATGGAAAGAACAATAAATAAAATGAAAAGAAAGGGCAGTAAAACCCTTCAGATATGCACTTGTGCAAATACATACTTAAAATCATAAACACACATTTGAGATGAATGGGCTTTAAGCCAGATGGAAAACTGACTCATTTAAAATAATGCAGTGGGATCAGCAGTTGGCGTAATGGCTATGTTGCGGGACTCCCAGGTAGTCGACTGCAGTTTGTGTCTTGGACCCGGTGGCTTAAAACTCACGCCGGGCGCGTGTGCATGCGTGCCCAAGATCCCGAGAGGAGAATGGAGGAGAAGGGACTGCGGCGTGGCCACCCCCCCAGGGGAGGTGATTTCTTGCTTTCTGTCTCTCTGTCTCTCTCTGTCTGTCTGGCAAGCGCATGTGCTCGATAGCAAAAAACTTCTCCAAAAAATAATAATAATAAATAAAATAATGCAGTCTAAACAAAAACCCATTTGTAAGAGCTAATGACAATAGAATTTCGGTACCAGAAAATTTCTCAGGAAATACCCTAGAGGTCAATGCTACTGGATCTGTGACAATAGGACCAAGTGCCTTAAAGAAAACTTTCAAAACTTTCAATGACTCAGGTAATTTTTTTTTCTTCTCTTTTTTTTTTTTTTTTTTTTTTGAGATTTTTGCCATAAGACATGTGTGCTTGCCAGAGAGATAAAGAGAGAGACAGAGAGTGGGAAAGTAAGAAATCATCCCCCAGGGAGGATGGCCAAGCCGCAATCCCTTCATTTTCCTCTCAGGATTGTGGGCACCTATGCACATGCGCCTGGCCTGTCTTTCAAGACACTGGGTCCGAGACTCGAACGGCAAAGTTGGCCATGTGGAATCCAGCGCCTCAACCATCACGCCATCTGCTTCTCTGGCTCAAGTCATTTCTTTTTTGTGGGCCATATGGACATATGTCTTCTAAGCTGTGCTGAGCAGATTCTATCAGATCGTCTAGGTTGTCTTTTTTTGCAAAACATGCATGCAGAATCTGAAAGGGAGTTCAAAAGAACAGAACACAGGCCAGCTGGTGACGTGGGGGTTAAGGCACTGGATCCCACATGGGCAGCTTCATGGGTTCAGTTCTGGACCCAGCAGCTTCAGAATCATACCAGGCATATGTGTGTGCATGCCCAGAGTCCCAAGAGAAGAGTGGAGGAGAAGGGATTACAGCATGGCCATCTCCTTGACGATGATGTCTCACTTTCTCTCTGGCAAGAGCATGTGCCCAATAGCAAAAACTTAAAAAAAAAAAAGTACTGAACACTTTAAATACCAAAGGCCAATTTGGCCAAGGTTAAATTTAAGCTTTGAGGGCCAGCAGGCGGTATGGTGGTTAAGGCACTAGACTCCCACATGGCCGACCACAATTTGAGTCCTGGACCTGGTGATTTACTTTCTCACTTTCTCTATCTCTTTCTGGTGAGTGCATGTGCTCTATAGAAAAAATTTAAAAATCATCATAATAAAATTAAATGAATAATTATTTAAAAAAAAAAACTTAATATAATTACATAGTTTTTTTAAACAAATTATTTCATTTATTAATTTATCAAGAGAGAGAGAGAGAAAGTGAGAAAGCAAGCTTCCAGGTCTGGGACTTGAACCTCTGTCAGCCATGCGGGAGTCTGGTGCCCCCAACCACCATGCCATCTGCTGGCCCCTGAATAAATAATCCTTTATAAAAATGAATTTAAGCTTTGAGGAGTCACTGAAGACATCTAATTCTTGGTGATTCTCAGCTCTCAGAGAGTGAATGATGTCACTAAGTGGCTGTATGTCGCAGATACTTACGCTGTTCCATTTCGTGGCCCAAATGGAGCCCTGTCTTCACTACTGACGGAGTAGACATCATAGCACTCTTTAATTTCATCTCTCAGGTCCTGTGGGATAGAGCAGGAGCCATTCCTGACTCTGAGCTGCCGTATCCGGGGGACCCCTAACAGCAGATTCTCATAGAAAATGAAACTTCGGTTGTCGGCTTCAGTTTGGTTGCTGGGCTCCATCTTCCAATACAGCCCGTCCAGTAAAGAGCCTTCTGTGAACTGAAAGTGAGGGAACATTGTTGAAAATTCTCTAGCTTAGCAGCTGTCACGCTCCTACCTGGAGTGTGTGCGTGACTTTGAGCTTAGCAACTACGTGAACACAGTGGGGCGATAAGAGCAGTGAGAGTGGTTTGTTGTCAGGGAGATTTGAATTTGTTTCTTGCTTTGTCAGTTGCTAGCTGCAAGGAGCTTCTGACCCAGAGGCTCTTGAGGGAGAGCCAGAGTCTGGGAAAACCATCTTCTGGGGCTAGCAGGTGGCGTGGCAGTTAGGATGGCTGGACCCCACATGGCCGACTATGTGGTTTGAGTCCTGGACTCGGTGGCTTGAAAATCATGCTGGGCACGTGTGTGTGGGTGCCCAACATCCCAAGAGGAAAATGCAGGAGAAGGGATTGTGGTGTGGCCATTCCCCCAGCAGGTGATTTCTCACTTTCTCTCTCTGGCAGATGTACTCACTGCCCAGAAAAAATAAAAAACAAACAACACCCCCACACCCAGGTGCTTTACTGCACCTGGTACAGTGGCCACTTAATAAATGGCACCATTTTTTTTGGGGGGGGGGGCTATAGTATGTGTGCACTCACCATAGAGAGAAAGAGGGAGAGACAGAGAGAGAGACAAAGGAAAGTAAAAAGTCGCCCCCGGGGGGATGGCCATGCTGCGATCCCTTCTTCTCCAGTCTCCTCTCAGGATTTTGTACACACATAAGACTGGTGTGATTTTCAAGCCACTGGGCCTGGGACTCAAATCTCTCATTCAGCTGTGTGGGATCCAGCACCTTGACCTCCATGCCCCCTGAGGGTCCATCAACTCTTGCTGTAGGACTGAAGATCGGGGCGGAGGTGTGATGTTGCATAAATCCATAACCAAGACCAGCTCCGCTTTCCCTTAGTAGAATACCACCCCACACAATCACCTTTGTGAGCCTGGGCGGCGAGAAGGCCCAGTCTGCCCTCTAGTGGACCTTTCATGTGTCTGGGCTCTTTTGCTATAAGGTGAACTCTCCAGACCTTGCCATGTATTGCCCTGGGATTGCGCATATGTGAGGTCTCCTGTCGGTTTGCACAACCAGCTCAGCATTTCCTGGTGTGTCGCCCTTATCAGATGATCAGTAGAGATAGACTGCTTCGTGCCTCTGAGATCTTGAAAGATTCACATTGTGCAAGCGTGGCTTTGGAGGACAAGCACTTTTATATAGAATCTTAATTTCTCACTTTTCCTCTCACTGTCTGTCTCTCCAGTGGGTACATGCGCTCGATGACCAAAAAACAAAAAACAAAAAAAACCCCAAAAAAACAAAAAACAACTCTAGGGTTTAGTTAGAATTTTGGAAAATATCTCTCCAGGGAAAAACGATCATTTCCTTTCCAGTTTCCCTCCCAGTTTTCTAACATTCTGAGCACCTTAGCTAGCCTGTAGGTCAGCTTAACCCCTCGCTTGCATGTGCAGCTACTGTGTCGGAATCTGTGACAATCTGGGAAGAAGCTGTGCTGAATTTCACCTCGGCAGACTCTCAAGGAATACGTCTAGCTGTATTGGGCATTGCTCAAGGAGCCAGGATACACACCATCATCCACAAAGAGACAAGACACAAAAACCAAAGGAAGACGGAACCAAACGGACTGCCTTAGAGCGTCCCAGAAAGTTCCAGTAATGTTCGTTAACTCACAAGCAGCTGAATAGATTATCAACTAGGGTGAGGAAGTGCCTGTCAGGCAAGAAAACAAGGCCGCTTTTCAGAGTCCCCAGCCATGTGGCCACGTGCATGGAAGCACTGGATCTCACCTTCTTCACTTACGAGCTGGTGCACAGTATTAGCACGGACCTTATACGGTTACTATGGGGTAGAAGAAGGCAAGGTATGAAACACTCAGCTCAGTGCACAGCACAGCGAGGCTCTTGATAAATATTAGTTTACCCTCTGAGAGCAGCAACGGTAACTTCCCCCTGTTCCCGCGTTAATGGCTCCTAGTAACTCAGGACAGCTGCACCGCGTGGAAGGCACAGCAAGCTCTGTAGGGGCACATGCACCAAACTTAGGGAGTCCAAGAACAATTGCCAGTGCTAAAGAGGGTCCTGGCAAAGTCATCTGCAAATACCTTCCAGAAGTCTTCCATGGAAGAGAGGGTTTTAAAGTTGGTGTTCTCCGTTTTGGACACGGGGGTGTCTAGGAAGAGCTGTGACATCAGCCGGGTATAGTAGTACACGCTGGAGCTCATCATGCCATAGGTCACTGGAATACAGAGAGGCCCGGATGAGCTCCACCAGGGGACTCGCATGCATGCCTGCAGCCAGAGGCCTCCGTGTGGGTCCTCCTGGTGGAGGGATGTTTGGGGTGACAGATACCATGTAAGGTCTCTCCCAGTGCCTGCCGTCCCTTGGCACTGTAGGATAGCGCCCTATCTCTCTGGCTTATGAAAGAAATATACAATATAGTTTTAATATTCTAAAAATTTGGGACCAATGGATTATGTTGCTGGACTCTCATGTAGGTCAACTGCAGTTTGAGTCCTGGACCCAGTGGCTTGAAACTCATGCCAGGCTCATGTGCGTGCGTGCCCAAAATTCCAAGAGGAGAATGGAGGAGAAGGGATTGTAGCGTGGCCATCCCCCCTGGGGTGGGTGATTTCTCTTTCTCTCTCTCTGTCTCTCCAGAGAGCTCACATGCCCTATAGCAAAAAGTCTCTAAGAAAAGTTTTTTAAAAACTACTTTAATTGCCAGGTACAGGTGCTCTCCATAAAGATTGGGGGGTGTGGTGGTGGAGAAAGCATCCCCTCAACAGGCCATAAGCATGCTGCAATCTTCTCTCCTCCATGTCTATACTCTGTCAGAATTCTGAGAATGCATGCACATGTGCTGGCATGATGTAAGCCCCTATGGAAGGGATTCGAACTGCAGTTGACCATGTGGGATTTGGCTACTGGGGCAACCGTGGCATGAGGCTGGCCCTGAAACATCAATACTAATATTGGCTTACGTGAAATTGAGTATCAAATTAAAACCAGGCACCTTTACACAATATTTGGGACTTTTAAAGTGCCTGTCCAATGTCACCTTCCCTGGCCTTGTGGGTGAGAGCCTCTGTGCCAGGTAGGCTGAGCTGTACAGACCCCAACATGGCCATGCCGAGGCCTCACCCCACGGCTGGCACCTGCCGCCTACTCTCCCTACAGCCTCCCTGCAGGCCACCCCATTCTTCTCTCCCTGCTCTGCACCCTCGGGCTGACTTTCGGGACGATCTTCGGGACTGTTCCACCTGGGATCATTTGCCCTTTGGGGACCAGAGGAGGGAGAGGCTGAGTTTCTTCCTCCTTCCCTGGGCCCTCACCACCTGCGTCCTCTAGCCTTGGTCATGGCTGCGGGAGGAGTCCTTCCCCACAGCTATGCCAGATTCACGCCACGCCATTCCCCCAGTAAGTCCCCTGAAACCTGGCGGTGGCAGCCTTTCCCAAGAGCCTCCCCTGTCCTTGCTGGTTCCCTTAGCCCTACCACATCTCTCTAAAGAGACCCTTCATTAAACTTCATCACTTTGAGATCACCATCTTTTTCTTTTTTCTTTTTTTTTTTTTTTGGAGAGGTTTTTGCTATAGGGCGTGTGCGCTCGCCAGAAAGACAGAGACAGAGAGACAGAAAGCGAGAAATCACCCCCCAGGGGGGATGGTCACGCCGCAATTCCTTCCCCTCCATTCTTCTCTTGGGATCTTGGGCATGTATGCACACACGGCCAGCATTGAGTTTTAACCCACAGGTTCCAGGACTCGAACAGTGGTCGACTACGTGGGAGTCCAGTGACATAGCCATTACGCTAACTGCTGGTCCTATCATCTTTTGTCTTTATTAAGAGAAATTTTTGCTATTGGGCATGTGTTCTCACTGGGGAGACAGAGAGACAGAAAGCGAGAAATCACCCCCCTCACCCCAGGGGGGGATGGCCATGCTACAATCCCTTCTCCTCTACTCTCCTCCCGGGATCTTGGGCACGCACACACATGCGCCCAGCATGAATTTAAGTTGCTGGACAGGGACCTGAACCACAGTTAACTACATGGGAATCCAGCAACATGGCCATTACACCATGTCATCTACAAGCTAATGTCTCACAGGAGCTTCTAACTCCAGCTCCACCCTGGTGTTCACTCCCCCTGGTTACACCCAATGGGCTGGAAAGAGGCAAAAAGATCATCTAGGAGGTCAGAGGGTCAGAGGAGACCAGGGTTGACCCTCGGCCATGCACCCTACTCGCTATGCGACCTTACAAGTCACATAAACTTGCTGAGCTAGTTTCTTCTTCTGTAAGATGGCTAGCTCATAGAATATTTTGGAGTTTAAATAAAATAATAATTAAAGTTTGTCATGGTGGCTCAGGTGGTCAGGTGCTGTTGCACGACACTGGAACCATGTGGGAGCCCTTGGTTCGGATCCTGGGGTGAACTTAACATCCTGGGCATACCTATGTGCAGTTGTGATCCTGGCTGGCAGGGAGGCTGAGGGCAGGATTAGGGCATGGTGACACCCTGTCAAGGGTACCTAATGTCTCTCTCTTACTTGCACTCACTAAGAAATAAAAATAAATAAAATGGGGGGGGGGGTGGGGAGAGTAGTGCTGCAGCCTAGTAGTCAAGGGAGCCGGTCCCATGTGGCTGGCTGTCTTCTGAATCCTGGCGTGAAAAACACGCAGTGCATGTGTGTGCGTGCCCCAAATGCTGACAGGATGGAGAAACGGAGAAAAGCCTGCAGCACGTCTTGCCCCCTTGTGAAGGGTGCTTGTCCCTCTCTTTCTCTCTGACAAGTGCCCAGGCCCTCTGGCAATTAAAAATTTTTTGTACAGTGGCAGGCTCTTAACAACTATCTGATGATGGTGGTTCTTTCATTTTACCTGGAATAGAATAACCCAGCAATTACAAATTTCAGCACTTTAACAATTCTTTCTTATGCTGGACTCCAGTGATGACAGGCTTTAATATACTATAATTCCTATAATTAGCTGATTAAAAGCTTACAAAGGAAGAAAACATCTGTTACACTTTTTGGCCACAGTTCTGAACACCCAGCAAGCGACTAAGAGTTACTTAATTCTATAATAGTCTTCAGGTATCATAAAATGTGTATTAAGCCTGCATTAAATTATTTTGGGATTAAATGCTATGTAGTAAATCTCTCCCTCATTCAGCCCTCTTCCCCTTTCAAGCAGCAAAACAAATTAAGATAATTGGGCCCGCAGGTGGCATGGAGGTTAAGGTGCTGGACTCCCACATGGTTACCTGTGTTCAAGTCCTAGACCCAGTAGCTTGAAACTCACACTGGGTGCAAGTGCATGTGCACTCAAAATCCTGAGAGGGGAATGGAGGAGAAGGGACTGTGGCATGGCCATTCCTCTTTGTGGGTGATTTTTTACTTTCCCTCTCTCTTTCTTTAGCAAGTACATGCACTCTATGGCAACAACAACAAAACGAAACAAACAAACAAAAGAAGGTAAGATAATTAAAGGAGACGAGTAGGCCAAAGTGATCCGAATGCTGGCGTGTTTGGGAGTTCATCTCAAGCCATCCATCAGGCCACAAAAGTACACTGTGCACACAGCTTGCCTCTGTAACTGAAGAGTGGGAATAATTTCCAGGCCTCCTACTCAGGCTTCTCACCCGTCATCCTCTGACCCCATGTAATCAGGACAAGAACCGTCCTTTTCAAGTCTACATGACCTTTCAAAGCTGTACAGGGGCCAGCTCTGTGGTGCGGTGGTGCCACTAGCTTTCAAGAGAAGCTAGATACCACATGGCAACCACGGTTCAAATCCCCAATCTGGTCAGCACCCAGGATCTGATGGGCTGGAGGACTGCAGGAAGGGGACTGAAGTATGCCCACATCTGGTGGAGGATGTTACTCACCTGTGTGTGCAACATGCTCTCCGCTGTGTACAACATCCTCTCTCATTAATGAGCAAGAAAAAACAAACAACAAAAACACCGTAATGAACCCGAGTCATGGGATTTGGATTGTAATCTGTTCACACTGTGGAGCGAGGAATTGGACATGAAGATGAGCAAGATGTGATCTCTGCCCCCAAAATGAAGTGTCCCCAGAGAGAGGGCCGCCTACCCAGCTCCCATAGACGGTGGGCACTGGGACAACGCCCTCTGCGAATCCAGAGTCAACCGAGGGGAAGTGCTGGTATGCAAGAGTAAGAAGTGAAGAGCCAGGCCAGCAGGTGGTGTGGAAGTTAAGGCACCACATGGCCGGCTGTGTGGTTTGAGTCCCACACCTGGTGGTTTGAGAAACACACTGGGTTCATGTGTGCATGTATGCCCCAAATCCCGAGGAGATAAATGGAGGAGAGACTGAGTGGCTACCCTTGCCTCTATCTTTGTTACGTGCATGTGCTTCTTTCTTAAAAAAGAAAAAAAAAATCTATTTAATTCCATTTGCTATTATTATTATTATTAATTTGAGAGAGACAAAGAGCGAGACAGAAGGGAAAGTGAGAAAGCAAGCTGCCAGATCCAGGACTTGAACCTCAGTCAGCCATTCCGTGGGAATCCAGCACCTTTAACCACAATGCCACCTGCCGGCCCTGTGCATGTGCTTCTAGGTAATAATTAAAAAAAAAAAAGCCAACTGATTGAACTGATTATTTTCAATGAACATAAACTTAGAATGTGCTCTGGATTGATTCATATAATAGATCCTTCTGGAGTTTTTTACCTGTGAGATTGTTGTTAAAAAGGAATTTTGAGAGACAGCCGGTGGCATGGGGTTGGGGTGGCTGGATCCTACATGGCCCTACTACGCGGTTCAAGTCTTGAACCCAGTGGCTTAAAAAACATGCTGTGTGTGTGCAAGCCAAAATTCCAAAAGAATGGAGGAGATGGGTTGGGTGTACAGCCATCTGCCCTAGGTGGGGTGATTTCTCTCTCTCTCTCTCTCTCTCCCCCTTCCCTGGCAAGCACGTGAACCCTCCAGCAAACTAAAAAACAAACAAAACAAAAAAGTAGTAACTTATTTAAAAATGTATCTCCTTTATTTTTCTGTAGAGCTCAAGATCCAGTACTGGGAACCAGCAGGTGGCGTGGTGGATGGTGCTGGATACTCCCACATGACTGACCATGATTCGAATCCTGGACCTGGTGGCTTGCTTTCTCACTTTCTCTCTCTGTTTATCTCTGATAAAATTAAAAATAAGTGAGTAAATAAATGAAATAAACAATTATTTTTTAAAAAAGACCCAGTACTGATTTTTGCTTTTAAAAGTCTCAGTATCTGTACTGTTTTACTAACTTCACAAGAGAAACAGATTTCCTTGGTTAGATAGCACCACCTGCTGGACAGCCGGATAATAAAAACTTCTAGCCTTTTTTGTTTGTTCGTTTCGGAGAGGTTTTCGCTATAGGGTGCATGCGCTCTCCAGAAAGAGAGAGACAGAGAGACAGAAAGTGAGAAATCACCCCCCCAAAGGGGATGGCCACATCGCAATCCCTTTTCCTCCATTCTCCTCTTGGGATCTTGGGCATGCACACACACGTGCCCGGCATGAGTTTAAGCCATGGGGTCCAGGACTCGAACCGTGGTCGACTACATGGGAGTCCAGCGACATAGCCATTACGCCAACTGCTGGTCCCTTCTAGCTATTTTCTAAAAAAAGAATTATTTATTTAATTTTATTAATAATTATTATTATTCAATTTGCTATAGGGCACGTGCACTCACCAGAAAGAGACAAAGAAAGAGACAGAGAGAGAGGAAGCAAGCTGCCAGGTCCAGGACTTGAACCGTGGTCAGCCATGTGGGAGTCCAACAGTTTACCATGCCTACTGCTCACCCCAAACCTGCTAGCTTTAAGGGATGGTTATTGTCAGAGAGGGAGGGAGAGAAAGAGAAAGCATCCCTAGTGGGGCATGGTCATGCGCAAACCTTTCTCCATTTCTCTACCCTGTAGGGAATTTGGGCATCCTTGTGTATGTGCCCAGCACTTTTCACACCTGCAAGGCCAGGATTCAAACCGTGGTTGGCCATCTGGGATCCAGATGCTTCAATCACCATGCCATCTGCTGGTCCGAGAGAATTTAACAGGTTCTTTCTTTCTTTTTAAGAGAGATTTTTGCTATAGGGTGCATGCGCTCACTGGAGAGAAAGAAATAGAAAGCGAGAAATCACCCCCAATGGGGGCTGGCCAGGCCACAATCCCTTCTTCTCCACTCCCATTTTAGGATTTGGGGCACACTTGTACAAGTGTCCAGCCTGACTTTTAATCCACTGGGTCTGGGACTCGAACTACGGTCGACTATGTGGGAGTCCAGCGATGTAACCATTACACCATCTGCTGATCGCAGGAACTTAACAGATTTTAATCCGGAAATAAATTTCACTTTTTCCTTTCTTTCTGTGTTAAATCAAGCCCATAGTCACTTAGTACTTGATTGCATGCTTTCTTGTGGTCTTTTATAGGCCTCTTATTGCCCAGCAGTTTTAGGTAAGGGGGGTACAGCCGAGAAGGAAAAATGTCCCCTTTTTTATAGAGCTTGCAATCATTCTACTCCAGGAAGACAGTCAATCAGCAAGAGCCTAATGAAAATCGAAAACAAAGGCGGGAAGAAAACTTTTACACTGGCCCTTCTGGCGCATATACACTCAATTTCTTTTCATTATGATTTTGATAGATCAAATGTTTTCAAAACTTTTCCATTGGTAGAGGAAATATCCTACTTACGGATGCACAAGACTACGAGGAAAAGGAGGTACGTGACCAGTTCCCGTAAGACACTTTTAAGGTATTTCTCTCGGTTAGTGCTGTTATCTTCCATGAGTCTTGTTCCCCAGAGACCTTTAAAATAATAGGGAAAAAAAAAGATGTCATTTCATTTTTAAAAAATCTCATGAATGGCAAAAGTGAAAAAAAAAAATAGTATAACCAGGAGGGGAGGGTCCCCCATATTTCTCTTTCAACACATTTGAAAGGCAAGCAAGAAACAGGCTTAGCAGAAGGACCTTGCTCTTAAGAATACATCGGGCTCTATCGTTTCCCCAAATGTTTGAGACATCATGCAACTACCTGATTGCTTTCTAAACTCCCAGGCATACTAGTAAATATCTTAATAAAAATTTATAAAGAAAATAGGAAATGAGGGCAGCCTACGGCATGCAGCCATCCAGCTTGGAGGAGGATACCAGCTGGTAATACCCTACCCCTGAGCCCAGCCGAGTACATAATGTGACTGTTGGAAACGATACCCTTTGGCCATCCCAGAGGAAAAGACGCCCTGGTGGAAGGTCATTTCGATACAGAAACATCTATCTCGCACCTAACACACTGCCATAAAAGTTTGGCTTTGTATCTGTCTCAGTCCTACAAGACACTCTGTGGTAACTGACTATATGAACCATGTTTAGCTAAACAGATTTTTAAAATGCTAATTAATATATAATCTTAAAAGTAAAAGCAACAGCTTCGGATGAGCGGATGGCATAATGATTACATCGCTGGACTCCCACGTAGTCGGTCGCAGTTTGAATCCTGGACCCCACAGCTTAAAACTCAGGTTGGGCATGTATGCATGCGTGCATGCATGTGTGCATGCGTGCCCAAAATTCCGAGAGAAGAATGGAGAAGGGACTCCACCTGGGGGGTGATTTCTCACTTTCAATCTCTGTTTCTCCAGTGAGCACATGCGTCCTATAGCAAAAATCTCTTTAAAAAAACAAAACACCAACAGCTCATCCAACCTTTCTCTCGCTCTTTGGAGAAAAGAGTAAAATCAGCAACCGTGTTCTGTATTTTAGCAGACGGAAAAAGCGTTAGGCTGGCTGAGTGGAGATGACATTATCCTCCGGGAGCTGGAGTTACCACAGTTTTGGATTTGGCCAAGAGACAAGACATGGTGGCCATCCAAACCCTGGTTAATGAACAGGGTGGAAAAGTCACTTTTGCTGGGTACTTGGAAGACTCTTACTGGTTTTCAAAAAAGATGAACTTCTCGATCCTTTCAGTTAGATCAGCTTGGCTGCTGATGGAAACCAACTGGGCCCTGACACAAGGCCACACACTTTTAATCCACAGACCTTAGCTCCTGCAAAACTGAACCCACACAGCCACTTAAGCCACACAGAGAAAAGCGAAAATTGGTTTACAGTCTTTCACTTTGAAGACATGACTTCATCATCGATATTTAGGGTATCTTTTTAGCCTTACAGTAATACATTAGTTCTCCTCCTCAATTTGGGGATGTCATTTCCTTTGTTCCTCCCAAATTTCCTTTAGGGAAAATCAGCATCAGAATTCAAAGATGCTGTGTTACGCATCGCAGGTCTCACCACACTGAAAGTGGAACGTAACTTATGACCAGGTTGGCTTCTGCCAAGATTTGGTAGTTGTCAGGGGATTACTCACTCAGAAAAAATGCAGCAAAGCAGAATATGTGTTCACTGAAACTCTATCGCATTAGAGAATTATGACAAATTTAGATGACATGGAAAACTACAACTCCGAATAACACAGAGCCAGCCAAAGATTAGGCTCACTAGGCCTGTGCACAAGCGCACCATTTCTTTGGGTCAATTTCTTTGGAGGCCAGGCCTAAAATAAACGTGTATGTAGAGATCGCTGGGCTCTTTACCATGGGAAAGGCTGTTGCCCTGCCTCGCTTGGTCAGCAAATTTTTTTTTGCGGGGAGGATTTTTGCTATAGGGTGTGTGTGCTTGCCAAAGGCACAGAAGGTGAGAAATCACCCACCGGAGGGATGACCAGGCCACAATCCCTTCTTTGTTTCCTTCCTGGAATCTTGGGCATGCATGCACAGATGCCCAGCGTGAGTTTGAAGCCACCGGGCCTGGGACTCGAACCACTGTTGGCCATGTGGGAGTCCAACGATGTAACTGCTACACTATCTGCTGGACCAATCAGTGATTTCTTTCTTTCCCTTGGTTTAGACACAATAATGCACTGAGGAATAGGTATGCCTTTTTTTTTAAAAGAATTATTTTATGTAATTTTATTCATTGTCATTATTTTATTTTATTGAAGTTGACCAGAGAAAGACAGAAAAAGAGAGGAGACTGGAACCACACTTGGCCCTGTGGGAGGCCAGCCGTCTTAACCACGCACAACCTGCTGGCCCCAAGACATGGTTCTTAATTCTCACAAATGATATCGCTCAGGCCCACTGGGGGGGGTGTTTTCTTGTACCCTCCCACCTCCCCTAGTGGTGCATGCACCCTCTGGTAAATTTGTATTAAAAAAGAAATATGTGTAAAGCATGTATGATACTGGGGAAAGGCTGCTCAACAGCTTCGGAAACAAGTTCAAATCTGTCAAATGTCCTACGTCTGATATCCGGCTGGTCCAGATTTCAGAACGTGTAAAACCCAGATACAGCTGGTCGAGAACAGCCTGACCAAATTCACTGTGGTTTTTCCAATCATGAAAGGATCCTTTCTGTACTAAGACATATATTTAGAAAAATAAATAAGCCCTTCCTAACACTTGTTTGAGTTGCAGGGACACCACTAAAAAGGTAAGTGACTTTACTGCTCTTTCACAGATAATTACTACTTATACGATATCACTTCCAGAACATTGAATCCCTCTCTCCTGAGATGCACAAGGGCATGCAGCTAGCACCTCCACCCGCACTTTCCACGAACAGCTCGCACTCACGTGGCCAGTGAGATTTTCTTTTTCTTTCTCCAGAAGCCTAATCTTCCTGTTCGGTTTAATGGTACCAAGCTAGAAATTGAGGTTTCAGCCCACAATAGGGCTGTTGTCCCTGACAGGGGGTGGTCCTCCCTGCTGCAGGGCTCTCTCTGCAATCTAGCGCCCTCCCTCCCAGCTCGCAGGACTGGCTGCAGCCCTGGGCTCTCTCCTTGGTCAGCCCTACCCTCCAGTCGCCAGCACTGTCCACCTCGCCCCATCCCCTACACTCTTTGGATCAGCAAATGGCCATATCAGGCCTGCTTAAAGACTCTCCTGGCTCCAACTCCGGGAGACAGGACCAAATTCTGTGACGTGGGCTATGTTTTGCTTGGTCTCACTCTTTTTCCCCATCCTTGAATCCTCACCCCCCCTCCTCCCCCATTCTTCAAAATGTAGTTCCATGTTTTGCTCACTCTGGAAGGCTTTTCTGACCTCCCCAGGTAGGGCTGATCCTCCCGTCCTTGGGTTCCTCTTCTACCTGGGACGCGGCATTGCATCCACGTCCACCTGTTTCCCCAACTAAACTCTGGGCTGCTTGCAGTCAGGACATGCTCTGCATCTCTGTCCCTGGTACTTCCTGGTATAAAGGAGATGCCCAGCCGCTGTGGCTGCCTGGGTCCCATTAGGGCCTAGCCTTATCACGAATCCCCAAGGACAACAACCCTCCGTCATGAAAATCCCAAACACTAGTGGAAATATAAAATCTCATTCATTCACAATTATGGTACAAAGAAAAAAGAAAAAGAAGGGATGGCATGAAGTTCAGATTAAAAACAAAAGGAAAACCGTAAGAATCAAAAGGTGACAAAAACCCAGTGTCGATCAACTAATGGATACATGATATATAAGGTATTTATGTGCTCAGTGGAATATTAATCAGTCTAAGAAAGAATGAAGTCTGGACTCCTGCAACAACATGGATGAAGCCTGAAGACACACTGATTGAAATAAGTCTGACGCAAACAGACTGTCTGATGTACTGACAGCAGGTGCCTAGGATAGGAAAATTCATATACAGAAAGCAAGCAGAACAGACTACCAGGGGTTGGGAGAGGGGCGGGAATGGGGCGTTACTGTTTTATGGATGTAGAGGTTTGGTCTGGGATGATGAAAATGTTCTGGGAATAAATGACCCAATACATTCACAGGTCATCTATAAACTTTAAAAGATGGTTAAAATAGTAAATGCTATGTTATGTATTTTTTAGCACAACTGGAAAAGACAGACAGGCTTTTCAGTCTAAGGTTAACAAGAGCTTTGGCTACATGGACCGTGTTGAAGTTATTTATTCTGAATGTTCTGATGAGTAATCACTACAAAAATGTAAAAAAATGGCTAGCTGAAGTTAGGGATGGGCACCACGGGTACACAGTGTAGGGGTAAGAACATCTTTGGGTTCAGGGAACCAGCAGTTAGCGTAATGGCTATGTCGCTGGACATCCACGTAGTCAACCGTGGTTCGTGTCCTGGACCTGGTGGCTTGAAACTCATGCCGGGTGCGTGTGCGTGCGTGCCCAAGATCCCAAGAGGAGAATGGAGAAGGGACTCCGGCATGACCATCCCCCCTGGGGGGGTGATTTCTCACTTTCTGTCTCTATGTCTCTCTCTGTCTGTCGGGCGAGCGCACACGCCCTATAGCGAAAACCTCTCAAAAAAAAAAAAAAAAAGAACATCTTTGGGTTCAGATGTCTGGCATTAAATCCTGATTCCAACATGTAATAGCTGGGACCTTGGACAACTCATTGACCCTCTAGAAGCCTCAGGTTTAAGACCAGTAAAATGGATGACAGTTCATTCTTCACAGGGTTGTTGGGAGGATAAAACATAACCATGCGCATTCAGAGTTTTCCACAGTGCCTGGCACACAGTAACCGAGAAATTACTGTTCCTTATTCAATTGAAAACTTAAGAGAAGATATCTCAGGCCAGCAGGTGGCATGGTAGTTAAGGGTGCTGAACTTACATGTGGCCAACTGCGGTTCGAGTCCTGGACCTGGTGGCTTGTTTTTTCACTTTTTCTCTCTATGTCCCTCTCTGGTTAAATTAAAATAAATTAAAAAAAAAGTTTTAACAATTATCTAAAAAAAGATTTCTCATCCTGCACACTACTGACATTTCGAGTTAGCAGTGCTTTTGTAGGGGTGTGGGTGTG